CTTGATCACACATGACATATAAGTTTAATGTTTGAAATCAATTAGCCGGAATCAGTAATGTCCTTTTACCCATCACAAATATTTAAAAATAATATCCACTTGCCTTGGATCAACCACTTTAAAATTAAGATCACGAGCTAAATGTTTGAAATAAATTAGACATGATCACAAATCATTAATATCCTTTGATCAATAACAAATAATTAAAAAATATAAATATCCACTCCCCTTGGATCCACCACTTATAAGTTTAGATCTTGATCACACATGACATATAAGCTATATGTTTGAAATCAATTAACCATAATCATTATTATCCTTTGACCCATTACAAATATCTATCTACATGTACTCCCCTTACATCCACCACAACTCTCATGGCTATTAATAGCCATTCTCTGTAACCACTTAAACTTCGTTGCCACGCATGGTCACCGATTTTGATGAAACTTCACCCATGCTTGGTACTTGACACCAGAAACAAATATCAAACAAAATTTCGTTGCTATGTGTCTCGGTTGCTATGGCAACAGCCGGAAAAGTTTGAAAAATCGAGATTTTCAGCCACTTTAAATGTTGACTGTGGCTTAATAAAAACTAGAAAAAGCAAACAAATCATTCCCACAAAAACATGACACCTCGATGTCACTTATACTGTAAAGAAACTGTTTAGAATATATCTCTAAGTAAGTGGTAACCAAGGGTACATTTGGAATACATTTAAAATGCTGAAATATGCTGGAAAACACTCCGTATTCACTAATGGTAGGTGTTACATGCTCAAACTCAATCAACTTCTTAAGAAAAACAATGAAAATGTTTGACCATAAGTATATAAGTATAAGCAATATTATTCTATAAATAACTTTAATGGTTGCCATGGTAACACAGTGTAACCATGCAAAACCAGTAACTAAGTTTGGGTTAATGCTACCGTCTTGAGGAAAAACATGAAAATTCAAGATTGGCAAATATGCATCCTTAGGACCTTACAACACCAAAACCACAAGAAAAATTGGGTATAATTGCTACTTTGCAGTGTTACCATAGAAACAAAGTACCAGTGCTTACAAGTGAATTATTCTTCGCTGCATTAAGATTTAAATTGCCATATAATCAAGAAATAAATTAAAGGACTCAAGCTTGAATCGTACTTATCTGTTAGAACTGAAGTTGAATATCATATATTGATAAAATTTGATGAAGAAAAAAACACTGTTGCTATGGTAACCAAGAAGGGAAAATGTTCGATTTTGTGAATTTTATATCAATATTAAACCCTGTGTGCCAACTTCTTGCATCCACTTAGAGATTGGATGATAGTCAAAATTAAAAATCAGGTTAGCTGTTAATAAATATCAATCATAAAAGTTTTGGGAATCTACATTTAATGGTACGTATCCAAGGACAGAAAATATTTTTCAGGTTTTTAAGCATATATTTTCTGCTTATTTCCATAGCAACGCTCTATTTAAAGAATCTAATCTGAATTTTTTCAAATGGGAAAAGTAGGAGCACACCAACACCTTCCAAAATTGATCATTAGTTATGAGAAAATGTGCTTTTTTAAAAGATAGGATCAGATTTAAACATACAGAGTGTTACTTTGAAGTCTCTATGTGGTATAAAAAACCTTGGCAACCATTGCCAACCAAAATGAAATATCATATTTTGTTCCTGGTATATGTTTCAAGGCTCTTTTTTCTATCATTTGGTTACATTTCATCCTATAATTGCTTTTTTATTTTTACATGTATGACTTTATAAAATTCAATGAATATTTTTTTTTCTTTTGAGTACTTTGTTACCATAGTAACGTATGTAATAGTTGATTTACCAAACATCCTTGTCATGCATTTGAGACATCTGACCTTCAACGTTTGAAAACAGTCATTGCCAATTGTTTGCTTTGCCTCAAATGTTAATTATGGGGCTTTAAACAAGTTAAAAAATGCCATTTTCCGAACATTAAGACATGTTGCCATGGTAACTATAAAACATAGCAACCAATTTTTGCCTGATTTCAGTTAAGGGTATCAAAGACTTTTATAATAGAGAGTTTGGAGAAATTCTGAGACTATGCGTGCCACAGCTCCTATATAAAAGTTCAAGTCATTACAGAGAATGGCTCTTAATATCCACTTGCCTTGGATCCACCACTTCTTAGTTAAGATCATGATCACACACAGAAATATTAGCTAAATGTTGAAATAAATTTGCAAAAATCATTAGTATTTTTTGATCCACCACAAGTATTTAAAAATTCAATATCAACTCCCCTTGGATCCACCACTCATAAATTTAGACTATGATAATACATGACTTATAAGCTAAATGTTTGAAATCAATTAGCCATAATCATAAAAAAAAGATGAGAGAAATAACTCATGTCGATATGTCTAATAGGTAAAAGTGAAAAGCAATAAACGAAGGAAAATATTACAACCTACAGTATTCCCTTAGATCCGCCATCATGTCTTTGGATATTGATCACCAATCTGATTTATTCTTCTTTTTTTATCATTAGGTTAAGTATCTTTATTATTTTTATGAATGAATGAATATTATGAAAAATGAAATTAATTGAATCTCTATGTTACTCTGTCTGAATAAAAAAAAGCTGAAATAACCACTTTAATATCAGCCAAAAAAGCAGGTACAATGAATATGATGAAATAAGACAACATAATTATATACATTGTATACATGTACTATGCCTTTATGGTACCTACTTACTACTAGTTATTTTTTTCAAGTTTATTCCTGTCATCAACCAACTCGACTGTTAAATCTACATTGGATAACGAATCAATTTAGGCTTTATATACATCATGTACATTATAATTATTAGTAATATATAATTGGAATTCATCAAAAATTCTTTGGTTTCTAATTAGAAAAAAAGAAGTTCTGAAATTAATAAAACTAAATTTTCATCCTACAAGGTGCAGTCAGGCAATATTGATCTCATTCTGACAATATCACTTTTCATTGAAATAGATCTACATGTATGTCAAACTTGATATTTCTTTTTCTTATGATACTTAAACTTTCTAACTATAAACTAAATTATTGTAAGAAGACGTTTATTTTTACAGGAACATCAATATGCATTATCATGTCAAGGTCAGTCAATCCCTTTTGATGAGTTCTTTGATTTTTTCCCCCACCTTAGCGAATATGAGAGGACATTTAATCTTATTCATCTGTCATCTGTTCAATGGTTGGCTTATCAATGTCACAAAAACTTATAAACTTTGGTCATATCTTTTGAATGAGCTGAGATAGGGCTTTCAACATGTTCAAATTACACATGTATTACCTGTGCGAATTATTCCTTTCTTAATACAGATTACACTATCATGATTTTTTACCATGATATCTTGACCTTGAAGTATGACATACTTTTCATAAATATTAATTCTTCCTTATGACTTTGATTTAAAAGAGATAGGGTTTACATATGTCTGTGGCATTTCTGAGCATGCTACAATGTATGATTTCTGACCCCTTGACCTTTACCTTCATGTTTGACCTTATTAGAAAAAAAAACATTGGAGCTACAGTAACTCTTCAATGACATATGATACCTGGCATTCTTATTTTACAAAATATGTTGTACATAAATTATAATAACATCTCACCCATATAGACGCCAAAAGCAGGGAACCACAATTCTTTGAATAAATTTGCTTGTTATTTTTCCATTCAATCAATCAATGGGTTAAATGAAATTGAATTCTTGTATATAGAAAACATCTGTCATAATTATTAGCAAGATCCTATGACTTCAGTTCAGGTTTCATTTTGGGTTGTAAATGTACATAGTTACAGGAATTGCAATTTTCTCACCCTTCAGTATTTAAATACATAGATATGAATGATATTCACATGATTCAGAAAAAAAAAAATATTAAAGATTCCATAATAAGGTATTTCCATACATATCGTATGATTGTTGGTACTTTGTTTTCAAAGTGATAATTTTTGGTTCACAGTTTTTTAGAAGGAAAATAGAAATTTCACATCTATATCACTGCAGTCGTTAAGATCCACCCTTGTGAGTACACCATAAAAGTACATGCAGGGATTAATTTAATTATTGAACTTATTCGCACAGACCTAATGTTATAGAATCCATAAATAAACTGAACTTGAACTTGATTAACCTTAAACAGGCACAATGTGACATACTCTACTGATACATGGGACACCCTGACAGATATTCCTCCTCCCTTGAGTGTTGAGTTAGACTATTTTTCACTAAGACAGAAAACTAAAAAAAGTTACATTAATTTTTTGACCATGTAAATTACCCTAATATTTACCTCATAGAGCTTGATTCCGTTTTGCAAGAAATAACCCCCAAATTAATAGCATGCTAATACTTACATCACTGATATGTAAACAAAACTAATTCCTTCAGACACTGGCTGACAGCAGAATTCCAATTGGACATTTTGTGATGTTAATGGAATAATTCACACACGCCAAATCAATCAGACTGATTTAAATACTTGCGTGAATTAATCCTTGTTAAAATAAAGTTCTTATTTTCCATCATTAGGCCTATACATCCAGATGGTCTTCTCGATCCTTTTCCCTTCTGTAGTGTGACTAAAATGGGTAGCGAAACCCGGGCCGGGCCGGGCCGGGAATTTCAAAACTGAAAACCGGGTTTTTGACAATAACGGAATGAATACACATTCTTTCTTCATGAAATTTACGGACATAGTTTATTACTATAAGATTTGCCTTCGCTGAAAGTTTTAAATTAAAATGTTGTGTTTATCCATCATTATCGCCGATTGTCTTTTCAAGGTGACTAAAATGGGTAGCGAGCCCGGTTTACTCATTTTAGCGATTTACACTTAGGGCGCTTTCCATTAAACAGGCAACGCCGGATTTGCCGATGTTGCCGCCGACGCCGGATAATGGAACGCGCGTTGCCGGCAAGCAATTGCGGTCACGCATTTTACCATTGCCGATTCAGAAACAATATGGCGTCGTGTCATCGAGAGGAGGTTTACAGATACTACAAAACGGCGATTTCTTCCTTAGACTCTGATAAACTACAACGTCAGTGCATAAAAATTAATTACGGAGAACACCCACCAACAAATAACAGGATAAGTATCTGTTTATAGTTAATTCTATATGATTTTTTTAATTGAACATGTAAAGTACAACTACTCCGAATTTTCTCCACACATATAGAATAAACAGTTATTTATGTACATCCTTTTGTAATTAAACGCAAACTGCATGATAAGTATTCCCACCTTTTTACGTCATATTTGACTGCTTATTGCGTCATATCACCTGTCTGGATAAAGAATATAGTCTTTTACTTTTTATCTGTCTGTTGACGATGGCCTCTCTTGAGCTTCTGCATTGCCCTGGATGCAATTCGTTATTTTTATCATTATCTCACTTTAATCAGCATAATTGCCAAGTAAATTCGCCAGTACAACCCCTCATTCTTAAGGACAACATGACCACTGTGTACAGGTATTTTATTTGCAAGTCTTGAGTTAACATTTTTTTATTCACAGTTACTGTTAGATAGAATGTTCTATCATTAAAATTATAATTATCCTATGGACCCGGTTTAACTTTTGCTACATTGCAAGTATACATATTGGTGGTATTCTAACTGTGGTGAGGGCTTGTCCTGAGAGTGAGACACAGTTAGATTATTATAGATTATATTATTAGTGACTGTACGTACAAAGTAAGTAAAAGTTCACACACTAAAAAAGAAAAGGTATGTTCACATTGTAATTAAAATAATCACAGAAGATTTAATTTATAAATTTTTCTGCATATTTAATCATCAGTATGCAGATTTTCAATGATATGTTTTATTTAATTAAGATATGAAATTTTGTGCATCAATAAGAATGATAGGAATTAAACACTACTCATGCTACTAGGGATAACAAGAATTTAGAAGGTTCAAAATTTTTAAATACCATTCTAGTTTTCAGTATATTTGCAGGGAAGAAGAACCACATCATGGACAGGGGGCTGCTTGTCAGCCAGCACACAAAGCTGCAACAAGCACTGTTGCAATTGTACATGGTAAGTAAACAAATCTTTATAGATGCAGGAAGGATTTTGGTGTAATGTCTCAAAATAGTTCTTTATATTTTGTGATTTAAGATTCAGGTTAACTAACTCAATATACATTGTTTTGCAGTTTAAAATAAGTTTTATGTGATACCAGGTATATTGAATTGCAAAATTTTGCCATGTATTCATTATATGACTTTCTAATAATTCCATAATTAATTTAAAAAACATGTACACTATTGAAAGTTGAATGAAATAATCAAAATAGATAGCATTATTTAATAGCAAATATAAGTTTCCCATAAATATTTTTTGTATCAGCAGGTGAAGAAAATGAAACAACTGTCACAGAACTTTCCCCTGCCACACCTGTGCAAGGTACATCATTTCTTGTATAATCTATTACATACTATTAGATAATATTTCTTTCTCAGGTCAAGCTTGAAATTTTTTTTGTTTGCAGTTGCCAACTTTTAATCTTTAGAGTGGGTAGGTAGGTAGGCATGCTTTTTAAACTTTGCCTTAATTTAGATTTTAGAAATTTGTTAGATAGCAAATATTAGAGCTTTTCATATGCCTACTAAACAAGAAAAAGATCCACTCTTGGTTTAAACCAGTGATTGATAAAAATAAATATATCTAAAATTATAAATGAAACAGTCTCAATATCCTGAAAAATTGAAAAAAAAAAATTACAAAATGGCAAAAAGACAGTCTGGGTTGGGTGCACTTTCAGTAGGTTGGTAGGCAAATGCAAAAAAAATAAATTTTTATTTTAGGCCTCACTGATATTTATATCCCTCGTTTTCACAAAAGCAAAGGGACATTATATCTCATTCATCTGTTAGTTGGCCTGTCTGTCACATATACATTAACCTTGGTCATAAAGTTTGAGTGAGAAGAGATAGGGCTTTCATATTATACATGTATATTACATATGGTAAGACCTTTCTAAATATACTATGATTTTTGGCCCCATGACCTTGAAGTTTGACCTACTTTTCAAAAAAATTAACATTTACATGAAATTGGTCATAACTTTTGAAAGATAAAAGATAGGGCTTTGATATTACTTGTATATTACCTGTTTTAAGATCTTTCTAAATGTACTATGATTTTTGACTCTAGTACTAGGGATGTGCGATTTTATTGGTATACCGGTATATCGCGATTTTTTGTTGCCTGATACGTATCGTGATACGGAGACCTAAATACCGGTTTTTAGGTACATATTATAAAGTCCAGAAATTATTCATATATTTGTTCAATCTTTCAAATTACAATTGCAAAAAGTATAAAGAATGTTGTTAAAAGTGAAAAAAAATAACGGCATCTGATACCGTCCAAACATGATTGATTTTATATACATAAAAATTTCAAGAATGTAAAATTTTGTTTTTCTGGCATATTTTTTAGAAAAATAATGACTTTTCATATAATATCATTGTAAAAACTGCTTTTAAAAATATCATGATATTATCGTGATATTGTGGGGAAAAACCGTGATATATCGCGATACGAAATTTTTGGCGATACCCGTCCCTATCTAGTACATTGACTTTTCTTTATAACTTTTGATAGAGAAAGAGATAGGGTTTGTATATTTCATATGTGAATTACCTGTGACAAGAAGTTTACAGACATGCTATGATTTTTTGTCCCTTGACTGTTATGCTTGTCCTAATTTTCAAAAATTTTAACTTTGGTGATTACTTTTGATGTCAATGACATATGATAGGGCATTCATATTTGACACAATATGTCATAATATACAATATGCCATAAATAATGGCATCTCATCTAGTAAGATGATGAAAGCAGAAGACAAGAAAATTCTTTGAATTTGCTTGTTGAATTTAATTTTCATGCATTAAAAGAGATTATTTATTTTGCAGATGTAAAGCAGACATGGACCAACTGTCTTACCAAAGGCCTCATCAATTTTAGAGGTGAGTTGGATGCAGAGTTTGCGTCGAAAAAGAAAACCCATAAAGCATTATGGAAAGAAATTGCTGATAAAATGAAGAACGAGTATGGGTTTACTGGTGACTGGCTTCAGTGCCAGTCAAAATTTAACAAGCTTACTGCCAAATACAAGGCTGTAGAGGATGCTAACAAGAAGTCTGGGGAGAGACGGAGATCCATGGAATTTCACAAAGAAATGATGGAAGTTATGGGTGATGATCCAAAAATAACGCCATTAAAAACAGTATCTGTAGGTGTGAGTAAGGGTGTAAGTATAATTACTAGTGAGAAGGGGGAGAAAGAGGAGGGGCATGAGAAGGTGAGTGGTAAAGTAGGGTGTGAGAAAGTGAAGAAAGTGTCTAAGCGTAAGAGGGAGGATGAGTTGATAGATTTGTTGACTGAGGTGAGGGATGACAGGAGAAAGTTTCAGGAGGAGCAGATCAGAGTAAATGAAAGAAAGCTGGTGCTTATGGAGAGATTAGTGTCTTTGCTTGAAAATTAAGTATGTGTTTTCTCTTCTGATATCAGAGATCAAATTAGTAAGTGCATGTCACTAAGACCAGACCAAAGTCAATTTTTATTTGGATTTTTAATATTTTGTGTTTTGATTTAATATTATATTTGTTTGGAAATTTGCTATTTTGTCAAACATCTTAATTCAAAATTTTGCTTAAATTGTTTCAATTTCAAAATTATTTCAAAAGATAATTTTAACTGAAGGTAATATATTCTTAGTTTATGGTCTATGGCCCTACGGAGAATGTTTATCTCACATACTTTTTCAAAACAATGCAATTTTGTAGAATACATGTATTCCAAAAAAAAAAACCCAATTAAAATTTTGTTTTTTTGTTAAAATAATTGAAAGAACCATTCGCATATATTTTTTTGTTACTTGTACTCTGACCATCATTTTTCAAGGTGGTATAGTAGACAGTTTTGTTGTTTTTTTTTTCTTTTTAAGTTATGTTAGAGAATTATTTTAAAACAAACAGACTAAGAACAGGTGTAAATATTGATGTGAATTTATTATTAGTTGTTGATTGAACTTTATACATAATTTATATGCATTCACTGATGATAAAAAAGGATTTTTCCAACCAGAAATTGGATTTAGCTACAATTTCAGGATACATCATTCTGATCATTGAAAATTTTTAATGTAAATGTTACATAAAAAGCATTTTGTTAAATTTCAATAAAAAGGAAACATTTGTAAATTTAGCATTGTTTTCTTAATTTCATTGAAGTTTATTATCGGTTGGTAGACCAGAAATACTGGGCTAGGGCATTTCTTTTTACGGATCCACTCTGGTTCAAAGGCTCACCCACAGCTGGAGCATCTGGGAAGATACTGGTATCATTGCACATGTCCAGGTCATTATCATTGTTCTGTAGAAAAAGAAATCAAGTATAAAGAGCAAGAATCATTTTTACATGTGTTTCAAATGCCAAAATTCATGACGATTTTTTTAAGTGGGGGGGGGGGCTTACGTCTATGCACATATTGTGAAGTGTACAGGCTGCTGTTATAACACTTGGAACGTCTTCTAGTTTGGTCATCTCAAGGAATCTCAACCTTCTCCATTTTCCTTTTAACAAACCAAATGCTCTTTCAATCATCTGACGAGTGTTGGAGTGTATGAAGTTGTACCTTTTGTGACACTCGGCCAGATTTCCTGTATCTTTATATGGTGTTAAAATCCAACTGAAATGCAATACAAATAACTTATACATAAAAATAATGTACATGATTTTCAAATCAAGGTTTGTTTGTAAAATACTGATGCCCTCATGTGGCATCTTATGACAAGGGCTGAATTCTTTCAAATGCATATCAAACTCAAAAGGTCAATGTCAAATGTCAAAAGTGTTGGTACCGAAGGGATGGCCTTGTTACAAGGAATATACATGTTAAATATGAAGACATAATTCTAGCTGTTCAAAAGTTATGACCAAGGTTGAAGTATTAAAAATGGGTCATACTCTTAGGTGAAGGTCAAAAGGTAAAAATATTTATACCAGATGAAAGTCATAGCTTGTACTGTTCAAAAGTTATGGCTAGGTTAAAGAGTGTTATCTTTTTTTTTGTAGAAGTATGTCGAATTCCAAGTTCAAGAAGTCAAATTTGGTCTTGTCAAAGGGAATACACCTGTGAAATATGAAAGCCATAGCCCTACCCACTCAATAGTTTATGGGCTAGGTTAAAGTTAACTACAGACAGACAAAAACACTATACCACAGGATCTTTCGATCCAGGGACATAAAGAGTATAATCTGCCCGTTTATTAAATGAATGTTGATTTTAATAACCTTTGCAGTGGATATGCTGCATCTCCAACAATATGTGTATCGCCAGGAAAGAGGTTTTCGTTGGCTTCATAAAGGGGGGAATTTTTGAAGACCCTTGCATCGTGTACAGAACCAGGCCATCCGGATACAATGTCCGTGAACCGCAAAGTATGATCACACACTGCCTAAAAAGTAAAATGAATGGATTACTACTAGTAAATCACAGGAATCATGGAGGCAATTAGTCTTATTTTTAAAACCGAATTATATGTTCACCTGTAAAATAACCGAATAGTCCCGTTTCCTATTCAGATAAGACATGGGATGGTATTTTTCTTGTGGAGCTTTTATCTGAACGTGACATCCGTCGACAGCCCCTAAAACTCGAGGGAAACCCATGAGGTTTTCAAAGCCTTCAATGACTTCATTTGCCCTAGCTCCTGTAACGAAAAATTCCAGTTTTATTATTTTACTGAATAATTAAAAAAAAAAGGGGGGGGCACTTGGACATGCTCCGTATAATTTTTAGATATATTGTTTACTGTAGAAAAGAAAAATACTTTTACTTCCCCCAATGATGTCATATTTTTTGTGAAGGGTTTTTTATTATCATTGCCGGCCCCTTATTAAAAGTTGATAATGAAAGCTTATAAATGAACACTATTATTACACACACACACACCCTCACACACATATGCACTAACCAGTAGGCCACTTGATTTTTTCTACAGAAAGGCATTGTAAAGCGGTACATGTCCTCATGAAGCATCGGTACACGGAGGAATAAGTGACATTAAACCTGTCACTTATTTGTCTGTATCCTTCCATATTTGCCAACATCCATATAGAAATCATTACTTGTTTGGAAGGTTCAATGATTTCTCTGCCATGAACATGTTCTTTTGGGATGTGGCCTGTTGACAGTATCTGTTAATTAAATAAAGTTTACTTCAATGATATTTTGGATTTTTTTTTTTGAAGCCCCCCCCCCCCCTTTCACCATATGTGTACCTAACCGTACATAAATTTCATAACCGGTTATTCATTTTTTATTGATGACAGTATTGAATAATAAACGTGTCGATTTTTAAAAATACTATAGGATATGATCAAAAGTACATTTTATTATATTATGAAGGGGGATAAGTGCATCGCCGTAATCAAAACAAGTTTGTGTAAAGAAGTCATAGTAAGCTAAAATATTATCACAGTATAAATAATCCTCGTTAAAAAATCTTTTGTGAAAGCTAAATATGACATATGGTATTACTAAGTAAAATATAAAAATATAAGATTTTTAAGTGTAGGTTCAAATGAAATTTGTTATTTACGTTCAAATTCAAATAATTCGGTTATTGTTTTAAATCTTTGATATTTATAAAACACGATTTATTTAAATTGTGAAATTTACAGGAAAGTCCTATCTTTATATAAAGAGGCAAAACAAATAGAAAGATCTTTTTTTTTTAAATTTTAGCTAGTCTGAACTTATAAAAAATAGGCCATATATGAAGTTAAAAACAGAACTCTTCTACACATAAACATAAACATTAATTGCGACGCTTGGAAGTTTATTTAACGAAATGTTATATGACTCCACTATACATCCATGGATATAAGATACTAGAAAATTAAATTTCAATTCATATGTTGAATCGATTTTTAATTCTGCGCATCTCGGGTACTCTTAATGGGGCGCAATTTTATCTGTTTTATTATTTTATTTTTCTCGCATATAAGCGATCGCAATTAAGTTCTAGAATGGACACTTAAATAATAGTAAATAAAGCATTTCATAGACTTTTTACAATAAATCCCCTTTTTTTTTGACTAGAAGAATTTGTGAACATTACTAAAAATTTTAAAATATATCAAACAAAGAATTTTAAAACAGTTATCAAACTCAGCTATTGAACGCAGCCCTTGGGCAGATCGATAGACTTTGCATTGGAAGCATTTTATATATGAAATGGTGTATTTTCTTGAGCGATTTATTAATAATTTAAAGCATACCTGTCTACAGACTTCCTCAAAAGTCTCTCTTCGCATTCGAAAATGCGAGGAAAATTCATCTGGGGAGTATCCTGGTATTGTTACGTTGAAATAATCAGAAATACGCTGTCGGCTTATTCTTTTTTCTGACAAGAGATGACGTATAACCTCTGGCGTAACATCGTCGTCACAAACATTCATCTCATCGCTTTCAAGTTCTTGAAGGAGAAATATCTTTATTATGCGAGTGTTTCGCTTGGATTCGCATTCCTCCATATTTAGTAATTGTGACGTTACCAACCGTTCCATTAACGTCACCGTTTCCAGGTGACGTCGCCGAGAAGGTAACGTTAATGGAAAGCGCCCTTAATTTCGATACATGATAACCCACCTGCAGTAGATTTATATTTTTTTCATTGTTGACTTTTCTAATCTTTATATTCATTCATTCATTCATACATTCATTCATTCATTCATTCATTCATTCATTCATTCATTTATTTATTTATTTATTTATTTATTTATTTATTTATTTATTTATTAATTTATTTATTTATTTATTTATTTATTTATTTATCAACACATGATTAATCCACCGTTACAAGCAAATTACATGTAAGTTATAGCACATGATATGCAATCGAGATTTTTTGTTCACACCCGTTTATGTCTCAAAAATATTATACCCCATACTCTTCTCGGTCTGTTGTAAAGAACAAAAAATTAATTGTATTTTTTATACGAGGACAATATGGACTCTCCGGTCAATCTTCGGACTTATTTGATTGTAAATGCATGATAAGAATATCAAAGTCTAAATCATTAAACAAAAGTTAAATTCTTACGACCCATCCCTCCCCCATTAATCTATATTTTATAAATTTTATTCTATATAAATAATATTTTATCCCATATAACAAATGCATGGAAATCGCCTATTTATGGTACTAGGTATGGGGGAGGGGGGGGGGCACATGTATGCAATCATTGTTTAATAACTTCAGCGCGTAGAGCATGGTCGAACCACTCTGTACACACTAGATAGAAAATATATTGTAAGATTCACCCTCAGGGCTGTATTCCGAGGGGTATATTAAAACCCATCACACGTGTATATATACAAGGATTCGGTTCCACACCTAAGTAGTGACACCTGTCATTTCCTGTTTATATTGCATAATAATCGTCTAGTCCAATCTTAGAGCAGTCTACATGTACTTTCAAGAATGTTATATTTTCCGGTTTTAAAATAATGGTTCAACATTTCTACCTCAACCTAGGAGTAATACAAAAGATTGCACGGTTTTTTTAATTCAAAGTTTTTAATATTGTTCTTAATGGGATATGATTTTGAAGGAATTTAATCATATTTCACATCTTTTTTTCTATTAGGTTTTCAAACTCTGGACATATAGAGTTATTTATTAAAATTGTCAGTTTGTTCAGTATTAAAAATGTAAGTTTGTTCAGAAGTAATACGCAACTAGTGATGGGACTGGATTATCTAGATCTGGGGTGTGTAGATACTGGTTTCTCGAAAGTTAGCAAAAGGGGGTGGGTAGGTTTAACTTCAGACTCTAGTTGCTGTATTATTATTATTCAAATATAATGTAAGAGTATGAAAATAAATAAAATCAACAAGGTTGATAAAATTTCCGTGGAATCCAACTCGGATTAAAAATAAGAAACAAATTCACATTCCGTTTGTTTTAAGACACCCCTGTGCAGAAATATGAATGGTTCCGTCCAAACCTAAAGCGTTTCGATG